TCTATAAGATAGGGAGCGCAAGAATATTCAAGTAAATAAGTTTTTTTCCCAGTTCTAAGTACCGCACGTCTAAAATATGATGTAGGTCCAATTCTATGATGCACCCTTGAGCGATTACTCCATAGTTTTTTATTCCATATTCTTTTGAGCTGTCCTACCCCCTTTAATTTCACTAATTGTTCCTCCTTCGGTGTGTTTGTCTTCTTTTTTAATTACCATGCATTATTCCCTGGGGCAAATAGCCATAAGACTGAAAAAACGCAGTTCGAAAAACTAGTCTTAATTTTTACAGCTGCAAAAAGCGATATTTGAAAAAGGAGATTCCATATATTAGGCGGCGAAATGAAAATTCTGGCTAGGCTACTGAAGGCATCTTCAAGAATCTTTCACTCATTAAAAACTCCTTATCTGTTGCTTCAGAAGTAATTACGAAACACGCACAACCCGTTTGAGTGGAAAATGCTGAAATTCTGAAGTTTTCAAGAGAACTTAAAGTCTAAAATTTTCAAAGTCACTTTTAAAAAATGACACTTCACTTTTTGAAAGAATAGTTCACAGAAATAGTTGGAAAATAGAAGAAACACCTGATTGAACGACATGAATATCTGAAATGCAAAATTTTTTCCTTTCAGTATTATCCCATGGATGTTCAAACCTGTCTAATCGACTTAGCCTCGTATGCTTATACAGACAACGATATTGGTAAGTGTATTTTGGATTAATCTAATCTTTGAACATATACTTCGGTTTGCTTGAAATGTGTTAGTTTTGTAATATAATAGTGCTCGTTTTGTAATCATTTGCTAAATTTTACTAAAATTCAGTTTGTGTTTTAACAGCAGGGAAAAGAGAGAGGTTGGATTGGAATGGTATTACAAGAAAGTACATAAAATTTGCTTTTGTTTTATGATTTCAATGAGTAGTGTTTAATTTCTTAAATTCTTGGTCGACTCCATTTAATCCACGCTCTCTTTAGTCGATGATTGCTGCCTGCCCCTCAAAACGATCTTTTTTTGGTTCTTTTAATTCCCAGGTGCAGTCTTCTGCATGATCTTACAAGCAGATTTCATTTATTCATCAACATTTTACTAACTGCAGCAGGCCTT